TAACTCATCATGTTAGCAGTAAGTTAAAGAATCTTGAATCATATGATCCACTGTAGTTTCCTTTTCTTGCCTTATTCCCAGGAGTTTTGTTTTTATTTGTTCTTGTCCTTGGAGGGAACAAAAGACAGCTGGTAGCTGTCCCCTGTTTGATTTTGCATGTATTTAAAAAACATCATCTTCTACTGCTCTCTTACTCCTTTACTTTGTGGTCATTTGTTTACAGCTATTTAGACAGTTATTTCTTAAGGAACCCCTAAAACTATTTAGACAGTTACTTCTTAAAGAACCCCTGGAAACTACCATATGTTCCTCTAGAAAGGATAAAGATTTGTTGAAGCAAACTTCCCCTGACACTTTACCTAGAGCAAGGCTGAAACAAAAGCTACCTACACCTGTATTTTCCTTCTCTTATCCCTCAAGTACACAATAGGGCATCTGGCTCTCAGCAGTTGATGCCAAGGTCTACTAGGGAAGAAATGAGACTTCAGAACTCCCTACAAGCTGAAATGGAGTCAGAAAAGCTACATATATAAATGCTCAAACGGCAGGTAGTTTTGCAGAAACTGCAATGTGGAGGAACTGGGACACTGTTTTCTGGAGCACTTTGCCACTAGGATTTTACTTTCAGTGCAATGAGGGACCATTGAAGACTTTTAAACCAGATGGTGACATGATAGAATTTCATTTCTGAAAATTATGGTGGCTGTTGGAAAAAAGTGGATTGGAAGAAACAAGAAAACGCTACATTACTTCACAGCTTCTCTAGGAAAACAGTGCAGTGGGAGAACCCTGAACTCAGGAAATATGGTCCATTTCCTGCACTGTGTTTCCCAATTCAAGATATTCTGTTGTGGAATTCTACAGCTCAAGAGCCCCTTCTGACTTACAAAGGACAAGGACTGATCTACTAAAGTCATGTAGTAAATGTGAGGAATTTGCCTAACTCAGCCAGTTGACATGTCAAAATCTAACCAACTTGTCTAATAATCTAACATATATTGTTAGTGATTTCAGGTTGTAAGAACCAGTTTTCTGAAAAACAAAAACAAAACCAAAGCACTCTAGAGGAAGTAATCATATGTTTTAATGTCATAAGTCACTGATTATATACTAAATAGTAAATGGTAGATAAGAACTTGGACCCTGGAGTCAAACTTAGGTGGCTCTGTCATGCCCTTGACGTGTGTCTTTTGGTGGGCTATTGAAACTCTGTCTTAGTTTCCTCATCTATAAAATAGAATGCTAATATCAACTTTATAGGGTTGTTGTGAACTCTAAATAAGAAAACAAATGGAAACCCAACACCACATGTTCTGACTCATAAGTGGGAGCTGAACAGTGAGAACACGTGGACGCAGGGAGGGAAATAACACGCATCAGGGCCTGTCAGGGGGACGAGGAGGGAGAATATCAAGATAAACAGTGGGGCTTAATACCTAGGTGATGGGTTGATAGGTGCAACAAATCACCATGGCACATGTTTACCTGTGTAACAAGCCTGCAAGTCCTGCACATGTATCCTGGAACTTAAGTAAAAAAAAAAAAAAAAGCTAAAAGCAAGTTTTACGCAAAAAATAAAATAAAATAAAATAAATTTAAAAACTAAAAAAAATTTAAAAAGTGCCTCTTAAAGTTATAAGGGAGGGCACACAGTAAGCACTTAGTGTTGAGGTTGCTGTTTTTCTTAATAAACATATTTTTACCAAGTTATTAAGCAGAAATATTGGACTAGAAAAGAGTAAAGTATAGATTATTAATGGTTGACAATGGAAGAGTAAAGAGGTAAAGATGTTCCATGGGGTTCCTTTGCCAAGCCATCCAGATACACCTCCATCCTCTTGGTCATTTCCCCTAATTCACAGTGTATTTATGATCCCCTTCTGACAACCCCCTGAAGAGTTGCTTGCGTCCTGCACAGTGCTGAGTTACAGGTGATGCATTAGAAGCTATATATATTCACTCTGTCTTCCCCGCATGTGCCTAGTAACTATGGCAGAGCTCAGTAAAGAAGAGGCCAGTGGTGAATTTACTCATTTTTAAAAAAATGTCCTTGTTCTGTTCTGTGATTGTAATGGCTAGCACTGGTGCTCTTACCCTCTCTCCCCCTCTTTTGCCATAGAGCTATTGTCAAATGTAAAAATACACAGTGAATTGCGATGGTTTCTGGGACTGACAGAGAGAAGGAACCTGTTCTCCCATAAATGCTATCAACTGAAGGGTTTGCAAACATTGTGATTGTGGCAGATTGAAAAAAAAAAAAAATCAACCAGGCTAAATTGAAAGGGAGGCACCAGAAAAGCTGGCGCAACCTTTCAGCTCCTGGTCCGGAAGAAACTGACGGTATTTGTTTTAATATTGTGAAGAGAAGGAAAATGTTTTACAGTAAGTCTATGGATCTGCTTTAGAGGCTTTTCTCTTGATCTAATTGAGCTGTTTGAAGTGTGCTTCAAAGTTCTCACCAAGCCTGTGTCAGCCACCTGCCTGCTACAAGCCGTGAGAAGTTAATCATCTTGGGCATTGTTAGGGGGAGATTGTCGGGTATCTGATGACTTTCCATTCTGAACAAGGGTGTACGGATAGGGAAAATGTGTGGCTTACATTTGTCTTTGGGGTGTGGGGCTGCTTGACTATGCATGAGAGCACACCCACACCTCCATCCAGATAGTGCCTGCTCACAGTGGCAGCGCTAGGTAATTCATGTCAAACAGGCAGATAATCCAAAAAGCAACTAAATATCCACCTTGCTGTCTTCTGCTTCCAAGCTTCAGTGTTGTTTTTTTGTAGTGACAGGGTATTACTATATTGCCCAGGCTTGTCTCAAACTCCTGGGCTCAAGTGATCTTCCTGCTTTAGCCTCCCCAAAATCTGGGATTCTAGGAGTGAGCCACCGTGCAGTGCCTGGTTTTTTAACACGTTATTCCCTTGCCTGAAACAACCTTGCCATTTACCATCAACACTGGCTTCATCTTCCAACCCCTTTGCCTGTTGCCTCACATTAGATGTCACCAGTCTGGGAAGCCTCTCTCACCCCTCACCACATTGAGGTGAGGGGTACCTCCTATTCTCTCCTTGTTCCTTGATTTCCCATTCAAAGCACTTCATGCACCAAACATTTTTTATTGCATGTCTGAATATATTCCCTAGTAGTCAACATTCTTTGAGGTTGCATGATTTTAATAACAGAATTTAAAGCAATCTCTTGTGTATTGCAGATTGACAATAAATTAGCTATGAAAACAAATGAATGACTATGGTTTTGGGAGAAAGGCACTGTCAGAGCAACCAGAATTCTAACTCATGACTTGTGGACTGTCAAGAATCACTTACTTTCAGTTAATTTTGATGACTCCAATTTTACGCTTTTGAGTTTGCATGTCTCATGATTTGTCCTTAATAGACTGCAGAAGTCCTAGCCCTTATAATTGACCAGCACCTGGTAGGGGAAGGGCAGCAGAGAAGGGCTGGATTAGAACCAGCTCAGATGCTTCTATTCTGACTAGTACTTAGGGTTCGTTGGAGAGTAAGAATAGGGACTCGGCCTAGTTGGAGGAAAGCCTGCATTGTGGTAAGTCTGAGTGACAAACCAGGGAGAAGTAATAAGACAATTTATTTCCATTTTTTTAAAATCCTACACCTGAAATGTAAACAAGGGCACATTAAATTTTTACTGGTTAGCATTTTTTAAGTAATTATATACTCAGCTATGTCCTTGTACTTGCAGTCTTACCAATGTAGACTCTGTTATGGAAGTAGCCCGTGCCACTGCTGCCTTTAGATCTGAATCTCTTTTTGCCCTTGTCCCACTTGTGAGTTTAGACTTTCAGCAAGTTGTCTTTATGATTCTGTATTCTATGGCATACTTTGCGAATTCGTCTGTAATCAAATCTGTTTCATGAAGGTCACAAAAGCTAAGTGAACATGAGACCTGAGAGTAGAACCTGGTGGTCCTGATTTTCCTACCCATTAAGAAACAGCCTCCCTACCCCATCATGGCAGGTTATAGTATTTCATGCCATCTCGTCTTATTGATTGAGTCATACATCTCTCATTCTGCAAAGTCAGGGTCCTAAAGTACTTGTGTGGAGTTGCAAGGACTCTTCTTCATTAGCCATCTTTGACTTTGTCATTGATATTATTTTCTACTTCTGTTTCTGATAATTAAAACCCCTCAAAAAGTAAAATGTCAGGGTGACCAGAGAGAACCTTAGATAGGACAGCAAATCTCTTGCTTCTAGAGAAAGGTATGAAAATAGACTATGCTTATTCTGGGTCTGATGGTATGCTCTCTGAATTGAACCTTACCTTTTACCATGAAATTTCTAATTGAGTTGCCTAAGCCTGCCCACCTGTCATTCTCATATGCCTAACACAATGTGAGATTTTATACATACAGTCCTCTGTATATATATTCACAGGTTCCCCATCCACAGATTCAACCCACCATGGATTCAAAAAGCAAAGCAAACGAACAAAATAACAACCACCATAATACAAATTTTAAAACACAGTATAATACGCATTTACATAGATTTTACATTGTTTCACATAGCATAACTAATCTAGAGATGATTTAAAGTACATGAGAGGATGTGTATAGGTTTATATCATATAAATGAGAAATTGGTCATCTTGACTTTGAACCACTTACAAAAAGTTTTTTTCTACATCTGAAGAGTGATTATTTTGCTTTTAGAGAGTGTTTTAAACCATTCTCACACTTCTATAAAGAAATACCAGAGACTGGGTAATTTATAAAGGAAAAAGGCATAATTGACTCACAGTTCTGCATGGCTAGGGAGGCCTCAGGCAACTTAGAATTATGGCGGAAGATGAAGGTAGGGCAAAGACCTTCTTCACATGGCAGCTTCAAGAAGGGAAGAGCAGAGTGAAGGGGGAAGATCCCCTTATAAAACCATCAGATCTTGTGAGAACTCACTCAGTACCACAAGAACAGCATGAGGGAACCATTCCATGATCCAGTCACCTCCTGAGAGGTCCCTCCCACAACACACAGGGATTACAATTCAAATTATAATTCAAGATGAGATTTGGGTAGGGACACAGAGCCAGAACACATCAGAATGGATCTTTCTTCCTGGAACCAGTTGAAACATTTGAATAAAATATCAGTTTATAAATATATGTAAAAATATGTTTTACAATTTGTATATTTTGTTGTATTATTTATATTTTTGTTTTTTGAATCTATGGTTTATATTAATATCATTCTTGCTCTCTCTACATCTGTCTGTATCTACATATGTATATTTGTTTTTTTCTTAGAACATAACCTAGATTCCTCTACAGTGTAAGTCCTTTGTTTTCTGGTTTTCTGGCTAATAAAAGGTTCTTATTTCTATCTTGATCTAGAAATACCCCCCTTCCATTTTTTATGAAGAAAAAATACTGAAGATTTTTTTTTTTTTTTTTTTTGCTAGAAGTAGTTTACTGTCTTTCTCTACAACTCATTCTAATTTTTTTCTTTTAGACTTTCTACCATTCTTACTGTCTTCCAGCAATGTCTCTATGATCATAGATAGATAAACTGCAGCCACACTTAGCCAGGATCATTTACATTTACCTGTATGGCTCTGTGTATCTTGCTTTTTATGCTAGGCAGGTTACTGAATAGTTAGATAGGAATTGAATTCTTGGAAATCAAGCCATTGTTCAAAGATTAGGAAGAACTTAACCATTTTAATGAACTTTATTATAAACCTTTTTTCTAAGCAAATAATCACCCCTTACTTTATCTTATCTCCTATGCAAATCCTGATTTTCACATTTAAGCTTTACTTAACACAGTGCCACTTTGTATAGTTATCTTTAAATAATGGTCAGTCCCCAAACTTATAATTGGAAAGCAAGTAATTTTCATTTACTTTCTGGATTCTACCTCCGGAAAATCTCTTATCTCTATCTTTATTTTGGTAATTCTCTTGTAGGGACTTTAATAGCCCCTGGAAAATCATCATACCTCTGCTTCAATCTGAAAACATAACTGGCAGGCATGAGCCCAGAACATATATTAGGGAACAAAGTACCCAGAGCCAAGTTAAATGAACTGTTGATGACTTTTCTGAAAATCATAGTAAACCATGATTTCCTCACAAAATATAGAAGCATCTGATTTTTGGCATTTAATTCTCAAACATACTCAGATATACTTTCTTCCTCTCCCACTCTGGGTTTATATCATCATATAAATGAGAAATGGGTCATCTTGCCTTTGAGTCATTTATGAAAAGTTTTTCTTTTCTAGTTCTGAAGAGTGATTATTTTGCTTTTAGAGAGATCTTTCTTTCTGTGGCCAGTTGAAACATCTGAATAAAATAAATAACAATTGAATGTGGATATGAAACTTAACTTGTCTTTTTACCATTAAATATATATTTGAAAAATGTGCTCCTTTTATAGATTTTCAGCATGTACCGATTCCAACCAGAAAACTAAATATTAATATTCTGCCCCAAAGTGCTGTTTTCCAGCCTCTGCCAAAGCAGAAAATGCCAATAACAGGGAGTTTCCAATCTAACTTTCTAATACCAGTGAACTTATCCATTTCAAAAAGCATCCAGTCAAAGTGGTCCCAATAAGAGAATACTTTGCCTAGAGAATTTTGGGCTTGAGTTATCCATCTCTGTAACTGAAATCTGCAGGCCCACTCACCCAGGAGATCTGAGAATGAAATTAAATATAAAAATTAGCTTTACTACTGGGAACCTGAAAGTTCAGCTAGTGGGGGAAGGAAAGCGAAGAACAGAATGTTTTCCAACAATCTTTGCTTTTGTGAGTGGTCAGCAGATGTTTTGTGCCTCTGCTGTATTCCTTGGCTAAGGGTTCACATGAAATGTACTCTCTGAAGGCTGTGGCCTTGTTGGAATGCCAAATTAGTCGTTGTTCCTCATGCTCTGAGGTCTAGCTTCACCTTCAGAACCAGGCGAGCTTGGTCCCCACAAAGTCCTACTGGTACTTAAGCCTCCCATTTCAAGAGGGCATTTGGGTTCACTACACCTCTCCAAGCCATCTGATTAATTGCAGCTGTGTGCAAATTAGTTTTCTTCAGGAGCTCTCTCCTGCTCTCAGATTAGCGACAACAACGTATTCAGATGGAAAGCAAATAATAGTAGTTGTAAAATGAGGACACAAAAGAGATGCAACATGTTTGCTCTTGATGGGTGCATTGATGTCAGGGCAACTAGGGGGAAATAAGACCACCTTGGTACTGTTATCATTGTCCTGATGATGGTCCCGTCTTGCAGAAAAGTCCAAACAGAAGCAGGGGCATTGTCTAATCATTGATGGTTTTCGTGATATTATTGAGAAGAACAAGCAAAATTAATGGTGATATTATATCTGGTGAAATGATTATAAATTCTCCCTGCAGTTTTAATTAGCCCTGCTCTTTTTCTCCTCCTGTTTTAATCCAAAGCATATGTGTATGTTTGTATCAGCAATTTTAAAATTCTATGAAGCGTTTGGTATCATCCATCTAGTTTCAAAACAGGTACAGCATGATGCAGTGGGAAGAATGCTAGCCTTGAAGTTAGGACTCCTGAGTTCCTGCCTAGGTCTGCCACTAAGCTGTAGTATGACCTGTGACATGACCTTTCAGGACCTTGGTTTCTTCTTATGTGAGATGAAGGATTAAAATTCAACAGTTTATTAAATCACTCCCAACTTTTAAGATACTCTTAATTTTAGGATCCCACGGAGAGGCCTATCATGCGCGAGACCATCCTATCATCAAAAGGTGAATATCAGGTGAAAGCAAAACAAGCCACATTAATTTTTTTCTGTTGTCAGCTTACAAAGCTATTTTAAGCCTTTGGACAATAAGAAATATACTTTCATTTCCCTCCATTAAATATACATTATCCATTAAAGTAGAGCGTGTTGTGAACTGACCTTAAGGGAATTTGCTAGTTTTTTTGTTGATTTTTGTTTTTTACAGGAAACTAAGTCCTATGGAACAAAATAGAATTACCTTCATGGAGCAAGGTTAACAAATTGTCTTCATTTTTGGTCAACAGGTTGATTTCTAATTCCCTCTTATTCCCTTTATATGTATTTTTGGCTCCCTGTATTTGTTTTGTGTTGCTATAAAGAAACATGTGAGACTAATGTATAAAGAAAAAGGGCTTATTGGGGCTCATAGTTTTGCAGGCTGTGCAAGAAGCATAGCACCAGCATCTCCTTCTGAGGAAGCCCTAAGAAGCTTTCACTCAGAAGGGGAAGGAGAGCTGTGTGTAGAGATCTCATGGAGAGAAAGGGAGAGCAAGAGAAAGGATAGGAGGTTCAGGCTGTTTTTAACAATCAGATCTCATGAAAATAAAAGAACTCACTCATTACCTCGAGGAAGGCACCAAGCCGTTCATGAGGGATCTGCCCCATGACCAAACACCTCCCACGAGGCCCTACCTCCAATATTGGGGATCACATTTCAACATGAGATCTGGAGGGGACAAATATTTAAACCATTAAATTCCTAAAGGACAAAAAAGGGTGAAATACACACGAGTACTATATCTCCAAACAAATGCCCAGTTAGGTACAGGACGTGTTCAACGGTGTCAGAAATCCAAAGAGAACCAGAGATAGTGTGGCTCAGTAGAAAGTAAACGGATTATACACACTCAGCATTGCAAGAAACCTTAACGGGACTGTCGTCCAACCAGACCAGGCATTATTCAAAACACTTTTTACCTCCCAAGGTTTGGCTTTCTAGCATGAGATGCCAAGTTACAACTGCCCAGAGAAGTCATTTAAACTGCAAGAGACTCAGCTTTCTCATCCTTGGAAGAGAGAAATTGGACAAAATTATCTTTAATTTTTTTTGCCTTAATATCCTCTTATTCTACTAAACATTTTCAGTATTACAGAAATCTGCTCTTGGAGGAAAAGACATTGCAGGGGGTGGGAGACAACATTGGTGATACAGTAATAAGAGTTTTTTAGATAGTGGCAAGATCAAATGTTTTGAGGTATGGCAAAACCATCTAGTAGTTTCACTTCTCCCTGACAGTAAGAAGTTAAGGAGGCCGATTTTCTTTTCAAGTCAGAACTTCTTGTTATAACTGGGTAGTAAACATACTTTTTAATAAGAAGTGGCTAAGGCTTAAGAAGACCAACTGCTGATACCCAGAAATAGCCAAAGAATACTTCTTTATTACTGACAGTGCACACTTTGATAGACCTGTCTTTTACTATTGATAGTATTCTTTCTCTGCTGTTTTTACAAGGAAAAAAAAGCCCAATGAAATGTAAACCTTGTTTTCTTCAATTATTTGTCCTAGGAGTATTCAGAGTAAATTAAAAAAAAAATACCTTACATACACTCTATAAAATCTTTTATTTAGAGCAATTTAAAAAAGCTATCTTCTTTCAGTCTTATTAAGGAGAGCAAATTCCTCCTAGAAGTCTTATTTCTACTTCTAATGACAATTGTTTTATTATGTGACATTCAAAGGAAAAACCTGAAGTCATATTTCTAGCATTTAATTTCAGAAATAATTTAGACTGTTACTTCAAAGCAAATATCTGCTATTCCTGACATAAAGTTTTAACCCAAGCTTGGTAATAAAGTTATCATAAGAATAATATGGATTATTCTCAGGATGGAATAGAATGTCTTGATTAGGAAGAAACACATATAAAAAATTCATTTCATGGAAGAAAATCTGTGCTGTTTATCTGGCAATGGGAAGTCAGATCAAAATATATTTATATGACATTTTAATGGGGTCACGTGAGAAGAAAAGATCTGTCTGTATGAATATTTTTAGCTTCTGAATTTGACATAAGAATAGGATCAGGAAAATGAATTCTGTGTTACATGACTAAGATGCATATTAGAACTCAGGCAAGATGATTCCTGTAGTTGGTCTACTGGGAAATTACCCTCTGCCTACAGCTTTCAAATAAATATATATGTATGTATGTATGTGTGTGCATATATGTGTGTGTGTATATATATGTGTGAAATTTACACATACGCGCACACACACACACAATGTGTGTGTAAATTTTCAACTAAGTACATCAGCACATAAAATACACTTGTCCAAGGTAAAAAAGACAAACAGTTATTAATAGGGCAAAAATAAAGTGGGGTTATACCCAACCATGGCATAATACTTCTCATTAGAAAGAAGCATGGTGAGCTAATTAAGACCCAGTGATAGTTAGAAAGTCTGAGAACATTTATCTCTAGAAATGGAGTGGTAACTAACGAAAACAAGGACCCAGAACCTCCTAATACAAATATCAGTTATATTCCCAGAGATTTAAAAATATAATAATTCTTATTTCTAATTCAATGGCCTAGAGTATAAGTTCGGATAACTTAACCTTTTTTTTTCTTTTAAGCCTCTCTGAGAAATAACACAGCTGTTTGGCCTGAGGTATTCTCTTTAAAGGAAAGAAGTTACAAAGACAAGAAGAAAAAAGTGGAAGAGAAAAATAAGGAGAAAAAATATTCAAACAGTGCATGACTTAAAAAAACATTTCACAAACAGCAAGGGGAATCTTGAAACAAAATAGATTTGTTTTAAAATGCAAAGAGTGAGCCTTACCCGGAATCGCCCAGTTCTCTTTTGTTGGTTGAGTTCGCTTCCTCCCATTTCTGCTAACTTTGACCAGCTGCTAACAAGCAAAAGAGCTTCATAGAGGTCATCGACACATGTTCTCTTCTGGGTTATCGCAAGGCTGACAAAGTGCACCTACCACAAATTAGAAGAGCACAAAGATTTCTGTGGGTATGCCTGCAAAACTCTGACTGGCTGCCAGGCAGCACCTCAGCTCAATAGCCTTGGGTTTACATGTGCCTGACCCCACTGCCCATGGTCACTGAGGGTGGCCCGAGGATGGATTCACTTCATAACCCTTCTCCATAATTATGTGAATAATAAATGAGCTCTATCCAATAGAGAAACAGAACACATTTTAATACTTTGCTAAGTGATGATGAGGAAGGGGACAGAGGAGTTGAGATGGCTGAGAGAGAACCTGACCTCTGGAGATGTAATAAAACAGTGACAGATAATGCAAAAAGAGATTTAATATATTTTTATATATTTAATATTTGTCTTCTGTTGCTGACTTTAGCTTTTGAGTCAATAGTAACTAGGAAGCATTTTGTCATCAGATGGCTCCTCTTCCTCTGGTTTTCTGTATTATATCATCTGATAAGGAAGCAGTGAACTTAAAGCTCAGTTCAACACAATGATCCTTCATCATAGCTGGGTGTGAAGAATGTTGTTCCCTCAAATATGACACAAATTGTTTGGTCAATAGAGAAGAGAACTGCATTCTATCTTTTCCAAACATCTGTTGTACTCTGAAACCTTTCTCCTTAGACCATGGCTGTCTGACCAACAGTAAGTGGATTTCTTTTAAATCTTATCTTCTATAGAACTGGATCTCATTCTGGCCAACATGGTGAACTCAGTCTCTACTAAAAATACAAAAATTAGCCGGGAGTGGTGGCAGGTGCCTGTAGTCTCAGCTACTTGGGAGGCTGAGGCAGGAGAATGGTGTAAACCCAGGAGGCGGAGCATGCAGTGAGTCAAGATGGCACCACTGCACTCCAGCCTGGCAACCGAGCGAGACTCTGTCCCCCAAAAAAAAAGAAAAAAGAAAAATAGATCTCACTAGAAGTATTCTCAATTCAGCAATAGTGTCCAGTTTTGAATCAAATATTTTATATTTTGATTATGTGTATTAAGAAGCTAAATCTACTCATATACAAAAGGAAAATCTTTAAATTTTCATGTGTTCTGGGTAAAGGCCAGAATTAAAAGGAAGAGGACGGCTTATCTATCAAACTTTTTTGTGCCTTTGAAGCCATAAACTTGAGAGAAACTTTAGCTTATTCCTGACCCTGCACCCAATAAGCATTTACTTGTAGCAGTCACTCTTGGGTGACTATAAATTCACGAAGTCAAGAATTTGCATCCTGAATTAATTTGTGTAAGATGTCTAGGGGAATGCTGATTTTATATTGGAAACAAGGTTAGGGGGAAGCTTCAAAACTGCCTTTAAGGAGTTCTGTATCTCAGCATATTATAATTCTTACTTCTACCATTCTCCGGAGGAATCAGTCTGAGTGACTTCATCAGACAATATTAGAAAAATTGCTAGCACTACGAAATCAACCAGGTCGTGGCAGTATATTCCTTGTAAGAAAATTAGTGCATTAACTCTTTCCAATAAGTGATTGAATTAGTTTTGCACATAATCTAATTTATGAAATGCTGCACTCACATGTTCGAGTAGTTAGAAAGTGTGTCGAAGCAGATGTTGAACTGAAGAAAGAAGGTGAAGGTATTATAAAATGGCTAATCTGTGGGTATGACCCAAAGCTTTCAGAAATTTCCTGGCTTCACTTCTTTTTTTCAATTTAATGATTTTTCTTTTCTTAAAGGCAAAATTGCCAATGAGTTAAATGTTGATGCTTTGATGTTAGCAAGACGGAGTTCCTATGTCCATCACTTATTAAATCTATTTTCTTATCAATTTGTTTGGCTTCTCTAAGTCTTATTTTCTTGTTTGTAAAAGGAAGATCTAATAATAGAACTGGCCTTGTAGAATTGTTGTGAGGATTAAATGTGGCAACCCATGGTTATTGGCTTAGTGCAAAGCCTGTCACAAAGAAAAACTCTAAGTTCTAGCGGCTATTTTTCATCTTTTCATTATCACCATTACTTAAGAGAGATGCAAAGTGATAGTATCATGCAAACATTTTCATGGAGAGTTAAATGAACATCTGTTTTTCCTGTTCTTCAATTTTTTTTTTTAATTATACTTTAAGTCCTGGGGTACATGTAGAGAACATGCAGGTTTGTTATATAGGTATACATGTGCCATGGTGATTTGCTGCACCCATCAACTTATCATCTACATTAGGTATTTCTCCTAATGCTATCCCTCCCCTAGGCTCCCACCCTCTGACAGGTCCTGCTGTGTAATATTCCCCCTTCCCTGTGTCCTTGTGTTCACATTGTTCAACTCCCACTTATGAGTGAGAACATGCGGTGTTTGGTTTTCTGCTCCTGTGTTAGTTTACTGAGAATGATGGTTTCCCGCTTCATCCATGTCCCTGCAAAGGACATTAACTCATCCTTTTTTCATGGCTGCATAGTATTCCTTGGTGTATACATGCCACATTTTCTTTATCCAGTCTATAATTGATGTGCATTTGGGTTGGTTCCAAGTCTTTGCTGTTATGAATAGAACTGCAATAGACATACGTGTGCATATGTCTTTATAGTAGAATGATTTATACATACGTGTGCATGTGTCTTTATAGTAGAATGATTTATACATACGTGTGCATGTGTCTTTATAGCAGAATGATTTATAATCCTTTGGGTATATACCCAGTAATGGGATTGCTGGGTCAATTGTTTTTAAAGACACATTGCATAAAACTGACTAATGCCATTCACGATGACAGTGAGTTTCAAAGGCAAATGGCTATCTTAGTCCATTTAGAGTGCTATAACAAAATGCCACAAAGTTAGGTACATTATAAACAACAGAAATATATTTGTCACAGATCTGTAGGCTGGGAAGTCTGACATCAAGACCCTGGCAGATTTGATGTCTGGTGAGAGCTTGCTTCCTGGTTCATAGATGGTGCCTTCCAGTTATGACCTTACATGATGGAAAGGACAAGGGGTCTCTCTGGGACCACATTTTCAAGAGAATCCCACTTAATGAGGGCTGTGCCATCATAACCTAATCACTTCCCAAAAACTCCACCTCCCGACACCATTACATTGGTGATTAGCTTTCAATATATAAATTTGGGTGCTGGGGTGGGGCACAAACATTCAGACCATAGCAGTGGCAGTTCGGAGGAAGTAAATTTTGAATGCTCATTTCCATGTAAAGGCTTCATTTGCTTTAAACAATTTATTTAACTTTTATTGTGCTTTTTCTGAAAATGAAGAAATAACATTTAGCTACACATAGGGAGGGTATGTTATTTCTAAAGTAAAAATTAACTCTTTTGTAAATGTGGCATTGTTTAATAATAGTTCACCCTATCCAATGATACTTAGCTTTTTTACTTATAGAAATAAATTATTAGGTTACTGTGTTTTTTTTTTTTTCTTTTGGTGGAGGGGGGTATTATGATCTTATCCTCAGTCCTCAAAACACTGTTGAACAGGGAACATCTGCCCTCATTTCAACCTTATTTCTTTAGTACCAACTGCAGCCATGTTTATAATCTTTGTTTTCATCCAAGTAAAGCTGAGGGAGGGGAAGGGGAATCCACTGAGAAAAAGATTTTCCCCAAAGAGTGACTGAGCCTTTGAAAAGAAAATCAGCTATATGAAAGGGGAAGAATGTTTAATCATTCAAAGCAATAATTGCATTGTAAATATTAGCTCAGCTGATAAGGAGTGGAGAACCAAGAGAATGAGGGAGCTGTTACGCTGTTTTATCTTGTTGGATGCCTTTAGTCAGTGCTCTAGCATGGGGGCCACGTCTTGGGAGGGAATCCACTGCAGCTACATTTAAGGTCACCTAATAAACCATGCTGTGTTCTTTCTTTTCTTCTAGACTCTATTCCTTCATTTTTTATCCTGAACTTTAAGCAAGGAAACTGCCAGTCATAGAGCATTTCCTTCTACACTTCCATGTTCCTGTTATGCAGAGAAATCTGAAGGGCAGGCTGATGGCCAGGCGGGGGGTACTAATTAACTACGTGACTTTATCTAGGTCAAAAAAAATGAGATAAAAAACATGCAAAACCATTCACCTATATAGACCTGTTCTCAAGGCAGTGTTTACCCTAGTGTATCTGCTAATTCCTTTCAAGTCTGGAAAACTGTTTTCTTTGACATTTTTGGAATGCTGTGATCTGAACCCTTATACTATTTTGTTTTCCTTTGTGGTACTAATATTCTGATTTTTAAACAATTAAATCTGCTCTAAATTTGTCTCGCCGTCTTCTACATCTTCTTCCAACATTTACATAGACATGCATGCACGTTCATACACACCACACAACTACAAGTCATTTCAGACAAATGGTCTTATCTAATTCTTTTTAGTGTTTCCATTTTATTATTTGTCAAATTGAATGGAACTTCCAGGATTTGCCCTGCTGACATTTAGGCAGACTTGCATAAAATACAAGATTAGTTCTAGCTGGATAAGAAGCTCAGCTATCAGATAGTGTTGCTGATTTATACAGTAGGAGGAAGGAAAAAAAACTGCACTCCAGCCTGGGTGACAGAGCGAGACTCCGTCTCAAAAAAAAAAAAAAAAAAAAAAAAAAAAAAAAAAAAGTAGAAACGCCCTGAAGCAATTGACTTTTAGCCTATCCAAATATTACAAACTCTGTCTTTATGCAAAAATTAGAGTCACAGTACCTTCAGATATCCTTCCAATTCTCTTTCAACAAAACAATTTTTCTTTTCTTTTTCTGCTCTTCACTGAACCTTTACTGTATTCAATGTGCAACAGTGCACCTTTTACATTCATTTGGCTCATGGGCTCTTGCAATAACCCTTTGCTGTGTGATAATATCTCATTTATGGTAACTTCTGTGACACTGGTAGGGGACAGATACAGTGGACATGTGCCCAGTAATGCCTTCACTGTGCTCTATTGTAATAGATTGCTCACTTATTTGCTACTTTCCTCATCACCCTATCTCTCATTCACTATAATATCTTTAGCAAATCACATAGTGCCACATAAATAAATGGTACTCATTCAATATGGACCATATGGATGAATCTCTGCTTATGAAACATGAGAGCCCTGTGTGCAGTTATTCTGTCCGGGAACTCACCTTCTCTGGCAATGTGAGACCATATGTTTAACATGACCAGTACGGAAGTAGAAGGAATCTTCTACTACTTTTTACGTTCTTTTTTCTTTCAAAAGTTTCATAAACTTCAAGTATTTAAAAAAAACAGTTCTAATATGTTCATACAGTTTGCTTTCAACAATAACTGCACACGTGCACTGACCTGTGAAGATGTTTCCAGTATGAAGTAGAAAAAATGGGTTTTAAACATCATATATAAAACTAATCAATTGTTTAACATATAAATGCATACCTGTATCCAGGCACATGTTCTTTGATTATTCTCATTTAACCAGTCCGCTATTGTTGAATACTTGACCTGTTTCTAATGTTTCTTTCAAATATTTTAATATAACTTCTCTGTGTGCTTATCTAATTCTTTTGTTTAGATAAAACGTTTCATATGGTATCCACTTTACGCCATTATTTGATATGATTTTCCTCTCAGCCTCTAGGAATGGGTTTTTCTCTGAGGGTAGTGGCTGCCACTCTGTCTAGTGGCTGAATATGACTTCATGTCACGTGGCTAATTATTCATGGCGAAGGTTGTCCGCATCTTATGTATCAGTGAGTTACCTGACACCCCCTAAAAATTATTTTTTTTTCCCCAGAAAGCTTGCTGCTGAGCTGAATTTCCATGATCAGATGGCGGCAAGGGCCAAGTCTTCTCACATAAAGAGAAATCACATTGAATCTGCTACATATGACCACTGGCCAGGGAGCCTTGTCATCACTGCATTCTGGGGAACTGTGCTCAATTTAAAAAGTTGAAGCTGCTTGCTGGCTTCCTTACTGATAGTTTTGAATGTGTAATCTCACAAAGATCTTCTTAGCCCTGGCAAAGCTGAGCCTGTCTAAAACCTTTATGTTAGAATATACATGAATTCATTTGTGCTGGCATCAAACATTTCTTGAGTATTTACCATGTTATTGGCTCATCTTAAAGTCAAGCTACAAAGGACCAGTAGGGGTTAACAGGAAGGCAGGAAGAAGAAGGGCACTGCTGCTGGCAGAGGTTGCCACATGTATAGAATATAGTGGTGAACCTACGTGGTGCATTTGGAATTGCAAGTAGTCTGGTTTTGCTGGAAGTGAGTTTGCAAGCTGAGGAGTAACAAGAAATAAGGCTGAATAGCATACCAGGAAGTGGTAGATTGCAGAGACCCCTGGATCACCATGGCACTTATCACACTACTTGCTGACTTGTGTTTTGGTTTATTTCCTGATGAGCTTTGAGCCAGAACTTTAATGCAAATTCTTGTTCTCATGTGTAAAAATTACTACAATGGCTTCCCATTGCTCTTAGAGAAGACAAAATCCTTAATATGGGCTAGAAGGTTCAGTACTATCTGTCTCCTGCTTCTGTAATCTTATTCCTCACTAGGTCTGCCTTCTTCCTCCCAGCCCTACTGGGCCCATTCTCTGGGCTTCAATATTACAGACCTTACTTTAATTTCGCTAATGGGAAATGTTGCTGCCTTCCAACAAAGGGCTTTGGCATGTGCTGTTTATATGAAATCCTCTTTTCTTCCTGCCACTCTTGCCTATTACTATTCTTATTTCTCAGCTCTCAGGGTTTTTTTTTTACTCAGAGAAATCTTCCCTGAGTTCCCTGACCATGTCAAAATTTTCACTTATATGCTGTCATAACCTCATGCACTTCTCTTTTACAGTACTTTAAATTGTCAGTGATACATTTGTGTAATTAATGAATGTTCCTTTCTTCCTAATAGGTGACATCATCATCTATACCATCATTATTAAATGAGCCAGCATCAGTTTCGGTACTTATCATATGTCCTATACTGTTCTAAACACACTATATGTATTAACTCATTTAATTCCCATAACAGTCCCTATTAAACAGATAACACTGAGAAATAAAAAAGTAAGCCACCCAAGGTTACACAGCTAATAGGTGATGAAGTTAGAATTAGAACTCAGGCAGACTGGATCTGGAATCTATTCTCTTAACCTCTATCTTTGCTGACTGGTAGGTTACAGACCTAACATATAGTAGTTGCTCAATAAATATTTGATGAAAGTATAAATGAATAAACCAATTAATGAATACTTTATATGTGTCCCACTCTTAACTGAGGACAATTGGGTCTGTAGATACAAAAGAACCATAGTAGACTCTTCACTGGCAGGAATGTGTTCTAGAGGATCAGGGAAAGAGAAACCACAGAATAACTTTATGTGATTTATGATGAAAGTCTTTCAAGTAGAGGAAAATTATAAAATGCTAACCAAAAAGATTCGTTGTTTGGTTTATGTGTTGATCACTGATCTTTTCCCCAATAGACTGGGGTTTGCTGAGTGTCTGTAATCCCATAGGTGGATGTTTATGATCTGAAGTGACAATGCAATATTTGCTCAGCATTTCCTGTACCTGAAACATCCCTTGAAAACTGAAATAGAAAGAGTAAGTCAATGGTAATATCATCCAGCACTCTGCCAGGCTTATGGTGACCTTGCTTACCCAAAAGCAATTTACTTCCCTCTCATTTCTATATAAGTACTTTACAGCTTTGTGTTTTCATGCATTGAGATTTCCCTATGAGTCTGAGAAGATCTCCAGGAACAAAAGAGGAAAGAACAATGAATAAACTAGTTCTAGGACTTGGGACATTGGATTATATTCAGAAACCCACTGTCAGACCATTGAACTGCCTTCACATTCATTACCAGACTCTGAAAAAGCATATTCAGTCTCTCCATGGACTGGCCTTCACATATGCCTTGCTGAGATATCTGGTAGAAATATCTGCCCAAAAGATTATTTTTTATGGAAAAAAATAGTGCCATGCCTATTCTAAATATTATTTTCTGTTTATCAACTGCATTCAGGCAGTGCTAAGTAGATGATTGATGCTGAAATTTTACTAGATAATCTTTGCTCTCTCTGTTTTTATATGACACATGGGGCAAATAGGTGAGATAAGCAATTAGTGAAATTCTGGAAGGGACAGATTATGTCATACTATTGAAAGGGGCAAATAGGTGAGATAAGCAATTAGTGAAATTCTGGAAGGGACAGATTATGTCATACTATTGAAAAGGACAGGAAGTGGATTAAGTATTTTATTTATATATATATATATATATATATAGTGTGTGTGTGTGTGTGTGTGTGTGTGTATAACAAGTTAGTTTCCTTTCCCCACCACTGACATTGTTAAATGGAGTGGTGACATAGACACTTTACTTCTCTACTCCTGGATTTACTAGTAAAGAAGAAATATATAAAAGAGCAAGACAGTACTGATCTGGGGTGGTACTATGGTATATATTTATACCATACCATAATTCTATGATCTATTAATGTCACAACCAGCTACATTTAGCTGGCTTTTATATACAAATGTGCATAGTACTGTTTTGTATTAAATATCACCAGAAGATATTTGTTACATAAAAACAGTGAGATTAATGTTTATATATTTTGGTACTCATGCTAGAGTTGAATGAGGTTCTGACTCTGGGGATAACTCTAGGTATCCTGGAAAACCTCCACATATACACTAAACCCAGAATCAATTCAGATAGGCATTATTGTTTGTAGTCATCTAATTTCAAGTTAGCGTAGTAGGATATGGATTGTGGGTGGGGTGGAGGGTGACTCTTAGTGCCAGAGAAAGCTTAAATTACTCATAGGGAAAGATATTCAGCATAAGATGGATAAAACTGAAATCAGATGCCCGGACTCTAAAGGACTGGGCTCTAACTGAAAAAAAAAAAAAAAAAAAAAACAGAAGCAGAATCCAGTAGGAATTCATTGAGTAAGCCAAGGTTACAATCTGCTGGACTTCAGAGGTAGAGTTCTAGATGCTCATTTTACTACCGTAGGTCAGAATGGGGGAGCAGAGGGACGGGAGGCTATAAATGAGGAGACAGTACTGAGAGACTAAGCAGACATTCTGGCCAACTCTGTAGAAGTTTCTCACGTTATGAGCTGAAGTAGAAAGGCTACGTCTGAAGATTCTGTCTGATTTTGGGTATCTTGGTTCTAGATCTATCGTAGGCGCAGATTAAATTATTTACAGACTCTACTTGATAGTTGGTAAGGATCAGACAATACCCTCACATAACTTCTCCTAGAACTGGTTGTGCTATGGCATCATTGTAGCCCCACGTTCTAGCATGGAGCCTAACACAAAGCAGGTGCTTCATAAATAGACAAGGAATGAATGAATGAATGAGTGATGGGATGAATGTGAGTGGATAAATAAGCAAAATTGCTGGAAATATGGGGTGGGAGTATGGCAGACAAAGGTTGGCATCGTCCTTCAAGGACCAGATCAAAATGCCACATTTCCACTACAGCTTTCTCTGAGTTAATTACTTCTCTCCACTGTTACTGTGGTGATTTATTTATTCTGCTCTAATAGCATTTATCCATCATTTTGTAGTTATATTTGGTTTCTCTTTTCCTCCTAGACTATGAAATCCTTGACTGTAGAATTATTGCTTTGTACCTACATTACTGCAGATAGTATCTGGCAAGGGCTGGGCTCTCAATAAATGTTGACCAAATTGAGGTTGTAAAGATTCCAATGGGCCAGTATGACTTGTGACCCATGCTTCATTTACCTAAATGAGGCCACAAGGCTCTGTGATCACATGGCAGTCAAATAACAAAACTCTCCAAAATCAGGATTTCTTCCATTCCTTCAGGTTCCCTCCCCCGTGGGCATGGTTATCTCATCCTTTACCTCCTGGAAATTATATATTGGAGGTTGTCAGCATGTGCTCTTCTGTATTACCCCATAGTTAATGCACTTCTCTGATGTAGAGGACTGAGCTCTCTATAGAACTATGCAGTGCCAAGGACCCTCTGCATTGACATAGATGCTGGGACCACACTGTTAGGTAACTGAGAAGACAGAGAATGTGGCTAGAGGCTAAAAGGGATGGAGCATGAAGGGCACGAAAGAAGGAGCTTGTCTTTTTTTCCCCAATGTACTGGGAAGCCCGGGAGTGGCATCATTTTGTACTCCAGCAGTGACATTTTAATTTATAAGCCAGGAATGCACTGATCGCCAACTGCAAAAATTGATTTGGTTGGTTGTTCATCTGATTCAACCCATGTCAGAGTTTGAAAGTAACTATGATAGTGGGGCTGATAGGCAGGCAATTACATTTTTGTTCTCTTGCTTTCTGGCTCCTTATCCCTCTCTTTCCCTTCCCACACCTCCACCTACCAGGTTGTTCTTGTCAGGAAGGCAATGTAAGCAGGAGACTAGAGAGAGTAATCTTTGGAGACGTGGTATATGGACTTTTGTGGCAGGGGCTATAATAAGTAATAGTATGGCTAGTTCTTTATCCTAATTTTTATTAGCCTCTTATGAGCTTGAACCAGATAAAAGATGCAAACTATTTTGTCTCCTTCTTTAAAGTACAAAATAGAAAAAGCACATGTACTGTAAGGCAGTTTCTGTTTCTGATTTGAATTTGAGTTTTCTTTGCAACATCTATAGATACAGTGTCTTTCTAAAAAGGTTTGCTCCAAATCATAATACAAAAGGAGCCTGGGGTAGGGAGAGATTTAGGCAAAGCTAAAATCCATCTGAGTTGAGGAGCAGATTCCACGGGAGACTGAAAATATGTTTCAAACTGTAGTGCAAGAAATTGAACAAAGTATTGGAATTTTTCTAAAAAAAAAAAAGATTTCTTTGCTGAAAGTAATACATGGCAGGTAAACCTAAAGTAATATAGAAGATGAAGTGGAAAAGTATATCACAAGGCAAAAATTACTTTTTAGAGTGATGAAGAGATGGATGGATGGATGTGAATTTTTTTTTATCTATTTCTTATTTTGAAGGTTATTTATTTACTTAAAAACACTGGAAAATTCAATGTTTTTCACCAAGCAAAATAGCTTGTCTGGTCCAAAGCCAGTAAAATAAGAATTTTGTGGGTGGAGTGTCTACTCCATTCGTATAGCAAATGTTGAGATATATAAATTATTTTAATATATTTATTTTATTGACAATATAAAATACAAAACTTTAACAGGCTCCACACCAAGGTCGATAGAATTCAGAAGCACATCTCTCCTCCCAGGAAACTTGTGGTGTAACTATTTACTATAGCTACCTCAAGATTTTACGGAAAAAAAAAAATAAATAAATAAAAAATGAGAACTTCTCTCGAAAACTACCATATCCCAGATCTAGGCTTTTCTATACACTGTAACTTCTCCATAAACCTCCTTTCTACTGACTGCCCCACTTCAATTTGGCACATACGCCCCTTAACCAGTAAGCACGTGCCTGTAGTCAGTGTGTCAGATGGCTTTGGCTGAATTGATATAAGATTGGCAGCATGGGCCGGGTGCGGTGGCTCATGCCTGTTAATCCCAGCGCTTTGGGAGGCCGAGGTGGGCGAATCACAAGGTCAGGAGTTCGAGACCAGCCTGGCCAGCATGGTGAAACCCTGTCTCTACTAAAAATACAAAAAATTAGCCAGGCATGGTGGTGCACACCTGTAATCCCAGCTACTCAGGAGGCTGAGGCAGGAGAATCACTTGAAACCAGGAGGTGGAGGTTGCAGTGAGCTGAGATTGTGCCACTGCACTCCAGCCTGGGCAATAGAGTGAGACTCTGTCTCAAAAAAAAAAAAAAAAGAAGAAGAAGAAGATGAGCAGCGTGGAACATGACGTCGTTGGCTTGAGGCCCTACTACTCGGCAGCAGACTATCAGGGAATAAACTAGGTAAACCTGGAAAATGTTTTAACTTCAGCTTATTTTATTCACATTAAGTAATGGAATGGCATTTTGCTTTTTGTTTGTTTGTTTGTTTTGTTTTTTTAGCCTCTAAACCTCCTATATAGCCCCTTTTTAAAATAATGGTAGGGGAGGAGGCTTAAAATATGGCAGTATTGACTCCCAGGACTGGTCAGTCTATACAGATTTTCAGGTTGTATAGTTTAAAAAACATATTCAATTTCTTATACATTTTTACTTAGTGATATTACTTTAGAAATGAGCCTCGAAAGGCTCAGGTTACTTTTAGATTTGTTCAGGGTTTAAAGCATCTTTTAGGCACTTCTTGGGCTTCTTTTACCTCTCATATAACATAGTGGTTAAGAGGAAGACTTAGAAATCTGACAGATTTCGGTCAGAATTGTAGTTTTGCCACTCATTGCCTTTGTGTAACCAAGCTCTCTGAACCTCAGTCTCTTCTGCAAAATAGAAATGGTGACATATTTGCTAAGTCTGTTGGCAGGATTAAATGGAATAGAGTGCACAAATTACTTAGCACAGTGCTTGGCACATAGTAAATGCTGAATTAACGGCAATCAGTCGCTATTGATTTGTTACTGAGGTTGCTTCAAATAAATTCATCCTTATTTCTGTGTAGTCTTTACTTTGTCTCCAGATCTTTGGAAGTCTCAGGTTCTTTTGTCTGGACTTTGGGGGTTTTGTTTAAAACTGCCTAATCTCTGCAGCCACATCCTCCACCACTGTACATGATCAAAAAACTTTTCTCTAAGGACACTGAGTATTTCTTAGACCTATGTCACTAGCTCCCTGGGGACTTTCTCTACTCCCATCCCATCAACTCATTTCTTAATAAGGCAACACCATGTTCAATGCGCATTCATTGGGCCAGTTGAGGCTCCTCTGTAATTTTATTTTATTTTTTGAGATGGAGTCTTGCTCTGTTGCCCAGTCTGGAGTGCAGTGGCACAATCTCAGCTTACTGCAACCTCCGCCTCCTGGGCTCAAGCAATTCTCCTGCCTCAGCCTCCCAAAGTGCTGGGATTACATGTGTGAGCAACCATGCCCAGCCTGCCCTGTAATTTAAATGTTATCTTTCCTTATAACATTTTCATAAGAGGATCTACAATTCTACTCTCCCATTCACTTCTAAAGAACAAAAATACATCCCTAATGTTCCACAAGTACCTCTAACCTTTGGGCGGGGGTGGGGGGTGGAATTCACAGACACTTTGAGGAGGTAATTATTTGTTTGTTGTGTCCTTGTTATTCATTTTGAGATAGATACTCAAGCTCTATGCCTCTTAGCTTATATACCAGCTTCAAATTTATATGTCTTTATTATTTATCATAAAATCTTTACCCGCCAGGCGTGGTGGCTCATGCCTGTAATCCCAGCACTTTGGGAGTCCAAGGCGGGCAGATCACAAGGTCAGGAGATCAAGACCATCCTGGCTAGCATAGTGAACTCCATCTCTACTAAAAATACAAAAAATAAATTAGCCAGGCACGGTGGCGGGTGCCTGTAGTCCCAGCTACTCGGGATGCTGAGGCAGGAGAATGGCGTGAACCCAGGAGTTGGAGCTTGCAGTGAGCCGAGATGGCGCCACTGCACTCCAGCCTGGGCAACAGAACGAGACTCCGTCTCAAAAGAAAAAAAAAAAGAAAAAATCTTTACCTTGAATATTGAGATGTGTTCAATACAATATCAATTTAGAATAGTTAGAAGATGAAAAGTTCCTTAAAATAAATTCTCTAATCAACAGAAAACATTTTAAGATGTTGCTGATGCAAATAATTCTAGCATATATCACTGTGAGTTTTCTATCTTTGAAAACTGTCATTCAACTACCATTGTAGTTACTAGACCTCAAATCAGGATCTTGCATGTCTAAGAGTCATTTCACTGCCAAAAAATGAGGAAATATAGAAAACTGAACTGTGTTTTTGTCATCTACCATTTCAAAAAACTCTGTGGAAAAAATATTTCTTTTAGCAAATCTCAGACATTATCTTGACTTATATGT